CATTTAGGCTGTGCATTTTTCAGGCATTCCTGGAACCTTCTGCAACTTGATGTTGATAAAGGAATGTTATTTTGAAAAGGGGCAGGGAAAAATAAATTTGTAATTCTTGAACACCAAGAACAATTTACAATTCTCATGGGTATCTGAATTGTGGGGCATCCCCCAAAGATAGAGTCTGCACTGGCCCTTAAGATCTGTGGATCTATTGGCTCCACAACAGAGTGACTCCTCTTTGGACAGGATTTCTAGAATACTTAAACAAGAATTTGAAGATAAACACCTCTACTATTACATGTTTTCCCATGACCCCGAATATAAGAAACAGGTACATATCTGGTTAGTAAAGGTCCTGTCACTTAAGTATGGGATTCTGAGTTCAGATCCCCAGAACCCATAGAAAATGTTAGATTTGGTGGCCTGTGCCAGTAACTCAGCACTCAGGACTAAGGGACAGAGGTAAGCAGATCCCTGAAGCTCACTGGCCAGCCAGCCTACCTGACTAGGGAGCGGTTGGTTTCAGTAAGCGACCTTGTCTCAAGGTGGAGAGCAATTAAGGAAAACCCTAAGGATGGACTTCTAGCTTCCATATGCGACCACACATGGTACATGTACACCAGCATGCACATATGCCCACAACTGCACTAATAAGTACACCTACCACACCACAGACACACATCCACCCACACACCCCCACACACAGACACACCCACACCCATACCTACACACAGATACACACACAGACACACACAGACACACACACACACACAGACACACACACACACCCCTACACACAGACACACATACACACACACATTTGCACACATAGTCTACATCTTCTTTTCCATGCATACAACTTCCCTGTCCCCTTCTCAACTTTGGTTTTGTTATTCCACTGAGTACCTTAGCCTTGTTGGAGGGCACATTGATTGTTGTAGGCATGATGCAATTTGCTAAATGGTGTTCTACTTATGGAAATGCCTGCAAAGAGCCCCGAGGGAACAAAAGAATTAAGTAAACACATATTGATCATGCGATATCTGCTGCTTTTCTTATTTGGCCAGTCCAGGACTCTGTCTAGTCTCTCTTGGTCTGTGATACAGAAACTGGGGGACATCCTTCAGACTTCTCGGTGATTTTAAAGCATAAGCAATGGCGGGAACTGCTTCAAAGAAAGTCTCATTTAAAAAGAAACCCTACTCCAGGATGGAATTCAAAGAATTTGGAGAGAGAGGAGGTGAAAGAGAGGGGAGCAGACAGCTTTGCAAACAGCTCAGCCTGGGAATTGTTAGACAAAGAAGCACTTGATAAGACCAATAAAAGATAAATGTGATTGGACCTACTGTGAGCTAGAGGCCTGGAGCCCACCCTCGTGAGCACCAATGGCACCTGCTATGTCCAGTGCTTATACAAGAGGATAAGCTTAAGTGTGTGTATTGGGCAGGGGGGGCAGGGGGGGCAGGGGGGCAGGGGGGGCGGGGGGGGGGCAGGGGGGGGTTCTGAGGAGGGATGCAGCAGAATTTAGATTAAGAAAGCAAGCTGATTTTTTTAATGGTTCAAAAATGCTAAAGTTTTATGCACATATTAAATTCTAAAAGGCAATAGATATACTCCACTGGATGTAAATACACAAAACATAACCCCTGTGTAGTTCTACATAAAAAATGGGGGAAAAATAAAAGATCACATTAATAATGCTTATCTTGCATTAGGCAGAGCTAAGGCACCGGTTGGGAAAGTGTTCATTCCGGGAAATGGGAGCTCTGACCTCTGCTCCTCTGGTATTTGCTTGCTCTCTCTTCCCCTCCCCTCCTTGTTTCTCTCTTCCTCAGTCTGTTATTTCACTTTGAGCCAGTCTGAGCTTGCATTTGACAATTTTGTCTTATCCTTTGGGGTGCTCCTCATCTATCCAATGAAACAGAGGCCTGTGAACAGGAGCAGGAGAGAAGGATCAAAAGGGAAGCTTGAAGACAGGAACAATGCCAGATGGCACTCAGCCTGGCCAGGAGAAGGACTAGGAATTCGGAGAATTGGTTGGCTGACATCTGGGATGAGGAAAGAGGTGAACTCAGCACCAAGTCCTCTGGTGGGTGTTGAGGCTGGAGGATGACAACTATGCTAAAACCAAGGGCTCACAATGACAGGTTTCAGGATTGGAGAGCTGGGTAAGGGCGTGGAAAACAGTGCAGTGAGTTGCACATTCAGGTCCTGAATCTTAAGAAGTACGATTTTTATAGCTACTTGAAAGTATGAGCCAGGGCCAATCTGAGAACTTGAGAGATGTAAGTCAGATGTTATAGCAGGAAACAAAGCTAAGTCCTGTAAGCACACCCTCTGTCTCCATAGCTTCAGCATGTTTATTCATTTAGCCACAAGATATAGCCTGCAGATTTGTAAGCGCCTTCTGTTTATCTGATCCAGGCTAGGTGATTCCTGCCAGCAGGTTCAACATGGAGGTAGGCATTAAGTAACTAAGCCCAACACACAGATAACAACCCAATTGTGAATGCTAGAAAGGAAAGTGGCAGCATGGTGCTTAGTTTGAAATGAAAACCATCAGTTAGAGCCAATCAGGCAAGGCTAGGAGCAGAAATGGAGGGAGTATCTCAGTGTGACAGAGTCTGGTTCAGGAAGTGACTGGAAATGGGACTTTCAGGATGACTTAGTGAAGGACAGGTTTGGCCTCAGTTCAGTGGGAGTAACTTCCGTGGGATCCCCATGGTTTCATCTCACTGTGGTCAAGGCTGAGTTTAGTTCTAGTTATTGGATGTCCTCTGCTTACATGGACCAGCATTCCTGTCTATTTGGGCATGTTGATTATGGTGTTTTGTTTTGTTTACAATTATATCACAAAGGCACAGAGTAAGTTTGTCTGCATTTTCCCCAATCATATAATCAAATATCAAATTAGCCCTTCAATATCTTCCATGGCTCAAATATTAAGTAGCTGGGTACTATCTGTGTTAGTTACTGTTCCCATTGCTGTGACAAACTACCTAACAAGACAACTTAAGGAAGGAGGGGCTGGCTTTTGCCCTCATTAGGAAGGTATCTTCCATTATGGTGAGGAGGGGCCTGGTGCCAGGAGCTTGAGGCAGCTGGTCATATTTCATCCACAGTCAGGAAGCAGAGAGAGAAGAACATTGCTGTTCAGCTTACTGTCTCCTTTTTATTCTGTCCTGGGTTCCAGTCTCTGTCAGACTTTTCACCTCGATTAACTTAGTTTAGAAACTTCCCTAGAGACATGTGAGATGCTTATCTTCCAGCTTAATATTGATCCTGTTGAGCTGACAATCAATATTAAGTATCACACTATTTGAGTAAATTCATTTCTACTACTGAGTCCCAAGCTTACTGTTCAAGAGTTACTAGCCCCCCACCCAATAACTAAGTCTTTAGGAGAGAATCAAGCTAATTTTCCAGTAGAATAATTTTAAAAGTTTATTTATTTATTTTGATGAGCATTGTATGTGTCTGTATGAGTTGATGTATACCATGTGTGTGCAGTTGCTAGCAGAGTCCAGAAGAAGGCATTAGATCCTTTGGAGCAAGTTATGGGCCACTTACTCACCAACTACATGGCTGCTAGAAACTGAGCCTGGGTCTCTGCAAGAGCAGAGAATACTCTTAACTGCTGAGCTCCCTCTCTAACCCACCAGTTAGTCTTGAAGAATGTATTTATTCTTGCTTTTGAGTGATGTTTTGGACTCCAGATGAAAAATTCTGGACTCTTAGAACTAGCATTATTAATGATGATCTTCTAATCACAAATATTAACATATGCCTTCATCAGTGTTCATGTTGCTCTGGTAGCTTACAACAGCCACGTCTGCATCAGCTCACTAAGGTCTTTAAAAGACCCTCGGACCGAGAGAGCTATTATTACCTTGTTCATGTTATTGCAATTATTGTTTTTTAGAGAGGTTAAGTCACCACCTAAAGGTCACCTAGTTGATAAGACACTCAGCAAGGACTCAACCCAGGCAGTCTGTATAATTTGAGGTCCTCTGAAGATGGCCTGTATGAAAAGAGATGAAGTCAGTAAGGGATATATTTACTAATTTTGATCTGTATAATTATAATTACTTTTATATGTATATTCTAAGCTTCAGATAGTAATTTCATTATTTTAATTTTGACATAAGATGGTTTGACTGACTAAAATAGTGGTTCTGAAATGAAAGGAGCCCCAGCATCACCAGGTGACATCAAGTAGTATTTGTAGACATTTTTAGCTCTCCCATGCAATGAATAGCTGCCATTAGAATCTGGTGGATGAAGACTGCTCGCCGATAAACCTCCTACAGTGAACAGACAGTTCTGATGTGTGAGTCCTGAGTTCAGAGTCTCGAGGGGATTCAGGGGGCGACTCTAGAGTTGGATATTGCAAATCAGTTAGGATCTTTTGAAGCAGGTCTTGATGGAAAGCAGTTTTTAGAGTAAGAGAAGGAGCTGAGGCCATTCATTCACCCACTCAGAACCAGGTTGCCTAGAATGGTTTCGACACACCCAGAGCTGTGCTTTCCCATGGGGGTGAGGAAAGTAGCAGCTGGAAGTTTCTTTGGAGAAAAGGAGTGAACCAAAGAACAGGGAAGACAGAGATGTCTGGCTGTTAGAAGTCAGGTAGAATACCAGGACTGAACTGTTGTAGTGCCACAGGGAAGGAGGTGACATGTTAATTTAGAAGCATGAGGAGAGCCAGTCTGGTGAGGGACAAAGTCAAAAGCTGAGTTTCCATCAGGAGCCTCTGCTAGCTTCCTTGTCTGCCATTCATGGTTGTGCTGATCTAAATATTGGGGCAGAGGTGAGGAAAAGCTAACGATGTTGCTGTTCTCAGAAGCAGCATGGGATATGGTACTGGTGTGTTGGGGGTATACATGCATCAATGTATGTGTATATTAGAGAGGGCAAGGAGCTTGCATTGTCTTCAATAAATGCTACTGGTCTGTGAACAGGTACTGGCTTCTGTTTGTTCAGTAACACTTTTTTTTTTCTGTTTGCAGCAGTCCTATGCACCAGCTCCCCACCCTATGGCTCCTCCCAGCCCCAGCACAAACAGCAGCAGCAACAGCAGTGGAGAACAGTTGAGTAAAACGAACCTGTACATTCGAGGACTTCCACCAGGCACCACTGACCAGGACCTCATCAAGCTATGTCAACCGTAAGTGTCCTGAGGCTCCCCAGGCCTCTTCTGATGCACACATCACCTGTGGGGACACCCCATGGGCTGTACCCACTACTGACTCAATGAGGAAGCCTCTTGTGCATAAGTGGGGGTTAAATTTGTGATTCTTGCTTCAGCTTCTTTCAGGGAGCAGGGTTTGGTGCATGGCCATGGGAGGTGGGATATCTTGAGCAGATGGCTGTAGCTTGAGTTTTCCTGCCTGGCCCACAGTCAGGACAAATCTCTCTCACCTGCCAGTCCCACAGCCTCTCAGATCCAACCAAGTAAACACAGAGACTTATATTGGTTTCAAACTGTATGGCCGTGGCAGGCTTCTTGCTAACTCTTCTTACAGCTTAAATTAATCCATTTCCATAAATCTATACCTTGCCACATGGCTCGTGGCTTACCGGCATCTTCACATGCTGTTTCTCTTCGTGGCGGCTGGCAGTGTCTCTCTGACTCAGCCTTCCACTTCCCAGCTTTATTCTCCTCCTTGTCCTGCCTACACTTCCTGCCTAGCCAATGGCCAATCAGTGTTTTATTTATTGACTAATTAGCAACACATTTGCCATACAGAACATCCCACAGCAGATGGCTGGGGAAATGCTGGCTGAATCATGTGTATTGATCTGAGAGACAGAGAGTGATGATAGAGACCTGTTCTCAGCCCTGCCGGGTAGGCACTAAAGCTTTTCTGGCCAAACTTGGCAAATGCAGGTTTAACCAGGATAATTGACCCTTTACTTTCCTTAGAGGTATCTACCCCCAAGCCCTGAAATTCTGCTTCCCTTCCAAGCCAAGAACTCTCTGATGTGTCTTTCTGGATTTCCCAAGAAAAATAGAAATAATTGAATTTTCTTCCAAAAAAAAATATTTTCATTCATCCCTTATCTACCAGCACATTTATTATCACTCTCATGTCTGTGCAAATATGCTAACACTGCATGGATTTACCCTACCAATAAACTCAGTAACAAATTATGAGTTAAGAATCACAGGCTGGAGGTTTTAGATTTCCCTTCTATTATTTTCAAAATATCAAGGCAGATATATGTGGTTTGATTGCCCCACAGTCAGGCATTTTTAAATTTGGGGAGAGCTATTACTCAGTTGCTTACCTTCTCTTTTGGAACCGTGTTGCAAGAAGGTAAAGATGCTATTTACATTGGAAGGTTTCCAACCCCTACATGTCAGGCAAGGAATACACAATAGGCAGTATTTATTTGCTTTCATTATGAATTTAAAAATTGGGAGTTCATATTTAGACAACAGATAGTGGCAGACAGATACAAACAAACATACAAAAAGTCATAACTAGATAATCAGCTAACAAAACAGCAGGTGGATTGGGATAAAGATGCCCTATTGCTGCTCTCTGCCTTGATTTGTACAAGATATAAAGTGGAATTGTGTAAGAAAAATATTTACCTAGAAGACATTGGTTTTGTTTTTCTAATGTTATAACTACCATGGCTGATGCATATGGACATGTGTTGTTTTGTTTTACAAAATATATGGGGGTTGGGAATGAGAATCAGAAGGTAAATAGCTTATTAGAAAAATCTGAACTATTTTGGAAAGTAAAGGTCATTGAAAATATGAAAATTGTTTGCTTTATGATTGGTTTTGTAGATAAATACCTGTTATATTTGGTTCAGACTTGAGTAATACTCATAAGGCACATTTGTGTGTACTGAGTAAAGATTCTTTCTCATTGTTCTGTGTGACCCTGTGTTCTGAGCCTGAGACACTCTGCTTCACTGGGTCTGGAGAAGAACGGAAGAAGTGATGTTTCCCACAGGCTTCCTAATGTAGTAGATGCTGCTGGTCTTCTGAGAAACTCCCCTCTCATGGACCCAGCAGGGCCACTGACTGCTCTGTTGACAAATTTTACTGTGTTGATGAGGGTAAGCAGAAGTAGACACTTGGGCCCTCAGACTTTCTTAGCTGGTTTGTGATCATGTCTCCCTTTGAAATCTCAATTTCTTCCTAAGAGTGGGCTGAAGATTGGGGATGTGGCTCAGTCATTAGAGCACTTTATTTTGTAAGCATGAAGACCTACGCTCTCTCCACCCTACCTGGAACCCATGTAAGAAGCCATGCATAGTTCTCACTTGTAGCCCACTTCTAGGTAGATCCCTAGGACCAGCCAGAGTCGCCTACTTGGCAAGCTCTATGATGATGCCTAAAGAAGTATACCTGAACTTAACTTTCTAGCCTCTACATAGATGCATACACATGTGAACACATACCCCACAACACATATGCATGCACCCATATGAACATATACATATATACCCCCACTGCACAAACACACAAAAGTGGGTTGACTTTTTCTTTTTCTAGATTTTTCCTTGTAGTGTTGGGATGTGCTGAAGCTGCCTCTGTACAGTGTACCCATTGTCAAACAGCCTAGAATTCTGGGTGAGCTTTGCTACAGATTTGGTGGCTTGGACTCACCCATGGTTAGGAATGTACATAACATAGGGACCAGCAAAACCCACAAATCATAACTTTCTGGAAATTTTATTTTACTGAAGAGCTGGTTTATGGACACAGCACTGTGGCAGCCTCAGAGCACAGATCTCTCTGTCAACTTCCATCTCTGTAAAGCATTGCTGGTTATTTTATAAATGGAAAGTATTAGCTAAAAGCCATTATTGGCTGGAAAGATGTGGTGGCCAGGAGCATAGAAGTCTTGTTGATGTTTCTAATGTATGCCCAAGAAATTTCAGGTGTGTTATAGAAATAGAGAGCAATGGTTGACCATGGGTATTAATAGTTGCTGGCTAATAAGACAGTCAATGGTCAGGTTACTGTAACAACATTCTTGGGTTCTCTAGTCACTGAGCTGATCAGGACCTGGTATTAATTGCTCGAGATATTTTTCCTGTATAATCCTAGAGAATAGATGTGATTGGGCAGCATGGTATAGGGAAGTGATCGTGTATGAGGATGTCTGGCTTTCCCTCCTGGCTGTGTCATCCATGGAGTCAGTGGCCTTAGACAAGTGACTGGCCCACTCTTAGCTTTGTTTTTGCTCATGTCCCAAAGAATGGACTTGAACTCTGCAGCTCTTTCTAATCCTTTCACTCTCACATCCAGTGAGTGAGGTTCTCATTTGGAATTTGCCCCTGTCCACCCTCTGTGCCTTTCTCTTGTCCCCTTGTCCAGCCAGTGGCTCACCAGTATGAGTAAGACGCACTGGCTGGGGTGCTTCTGGTAAGAGACTGACACAGCCCAGTTGGAAAGTCTTGTCCTCTCTTCTGAAGCATTGGCTTCTTACAGTACTTGTTATTTGTATTTATGGATTTCTAATTTACATTTCTCTCAGGAATCCAACATTTAAAAATACTTTCACCTGAAAAACATGTTTTCAAGATTTTTGTTTTCTGTTTTGTGACAGTGTCCCACAAATTCCAGGCTGGCCTCAAATGCACTGTGTGGCCCAAGATGACCTTAGGTTTCTCTGATTCCCCTGTCTCCACCTCACAAGTGCTGGGATTAATTACAGGGGTGCATCACCACATCTGGTTTATGTGGTGCCAGGGATCAAACCCGGGACTTCAGGCATGCTCTGTCCCAGGTAGTATTTGCAGGGTTATGAAAACTTGCTGTGTCCCCAGTTCCCATGTCAATTCCTGTGAACTTATGAGTACTTCTGAAGTTAATATGACTCACAGGATAGGAAGTATAATGATTACTAATGTCTATGGTAATAAAATAATAGAAAACAGATTTTCAAGTGTCATAAATATATTGAATTTTATGGTATTAGAATATGCCAGCCACGTGAATGCTAATGTATAGCAAGATGATGATACAAAGGAAAAATAAATGTATTATGCCTCAATGTGTAATGTGAAAACAAATCCTCAACACACCCACCCCCCAATGTTCAGATGACAAGTAAAAATCATAGAAAAGAAGGCAAAACTGAAGGATAATAAACACAAAGAAAGATTTTACTCTATGGAAATCTCTAGTTATACCCGTATCTTAGATAAATGCAATGGCACTGTGCATGTGTAGTAGGAAACAGGATAGTTAGGGACCCTTTATATCTCCTGAGAAAGCTCAAAGTATTGTCCACTCTTAACCGGGATCTCAGTCCAGAAATATTTACAAGACAGACATGGGCATGCATCTCTGTACTCTGAGCACTTGGGAAAAGGCAGGAGAAGGCAGGAGGATCAGGTCATCCTTGGCAACATAGAAAGCTGAATGCCAGTCTCCATGAGACCCTGTCTAACAGCAACAACAACAGTAAGACAAAAAGCAATCAAGAAAAGGAAGTGTTTCCGTAGCACTTCTGGCACATGGGTGGTGACAAAACTCAGACAAAGGCTTCTCCTTAGCTCAGTTTTTCTTCTACTGGGAAAAGAAGCTCAGATTCAATAAGCATTTGGCTTGAAATAAAAATGTAACCGTAAGTTCAGAAATGAAGCACCACATGTCTTAGTTTATAACATGCCCTCGGTCCTGTCACCTCTGAGGAAACGACAGTTGAGTGACAATCAGAAGGATAAATACATTTGAAGAGGAAGGAAGGGAGGGGCATCCCAGGCACAGGGAACATCTGGAAGCCATGTCCGTCTGGAGCCCTGCAAGGACAAGAGCCTGAAAAGGTCAACGTGGCCATCGCAAAGGGCAGCTGACCTCAGAACAAAGTGCGAGCACAGAGGGGACGTGACGACCTTTGTAAAGGAAGTCACAGAATTGTCATAAAGAGACAATCGCATCTTAGTTTGAAAAAGGTAACTGGAGCTGCGGTCAGGGGAGGGGTCCCTTGAATCTGTTGAAGGTTTAGAATAGGTGTGATGGAAAAGTCAGTTGGAAGCAGAACTGACTAGCATCCAGAGAAGGCATGAGATTGAGAATGAAGATCCTGGTGGTGGAACACTGTGTGTGGGGAAGGATGTAGTGCGGGATACACACTTTTGTGGTGGTCCTGGGACTGGATCTGAGGTGAGGTTAATTGTGCACACATATCA